CCACCTCCCAGGCCAGTCCTGCCCTCACCTGCTCCCAAGGTGGAGATCACCCCGGAGCCTGTGTCCGTGGTGGCTACTGTTGTGGATGGGGCCGTGGTGGCAGCCAGGGGGGTGATCATCTCCCCTAGGAGTGAGGAGGGGGCATCCCGTCCACCTCCAGCCCCACTCCCTCCCCACGACTCACCCCCACACAAGCGGAGAAAAGGTTTCCCTACACGGAAGAGGCGGGGCCGATGGAAATCTCCGTGAAATCTACTGTCTACGCTCCTTCTGCCTGCACCCCCTCAGCTTGGCGCAGTCGAGGGGGGCGACGCTCCTTGCCCATCCCAGCTGCACCCTGGCACCCTGCTCCAGGGGCGTGAGCACCCCACTCCCTGTGCTAGTTAGTGCCTGATTCTCTGGGGGGCCTCATGGCCGGGCACCCCCAGCCCCTTTCTCTGGTACAGTGCTGTCTGCCTGGCTGCCCCCCTTAACCCTGACTTCTAAGCCATCAGTTTTATGTTATTTATTATTGCCCTGTGTAGGGTGCGGAGGAAACCTCGCGGGTCTGCACACACCCCCTTCCCTAACAATTCCTGTTCTTGACTTGAAGAGAATTGACCCGTGGAGGCCTCCGCAACCCAGACTTTGGAGAGGGTGGGAGTTGCGAGACAAATCAAAATCTGGACGAAGAAGAGGATTAATGGTCTATACCCTGGGGAGAAGGCGGGTGGAGTTCTTATTGGGGAGGTGTAGGTTGGGTCCTCTGCCTCGCGATGCTGTCTCACTTGCAGAGCTCAGCCCCCTCCTTTCTCCCCAGTGGTGACCAGATATCAATAAACTTATTTTTAATACAATTATTGGAGGCTCTGTCTGAGACAGGCCTGGGAGACCAGCACCTACATCAGCCTCACCCCTGCATGGGCAGGCAGCACCCCTTGAAGTTGGAGGCTGGTGCTTTTCCAGCCTTTTTTTTTTTTTTTCTGTAAAGCCATCAAGTCCTGTATTCAAATGAAATCTTACTCCTACTTACCCTTTAGACACCAGCCTAAATGTCACCTCTAGGAGAGTGTCCTGGATCCCCTCCCCCAGGCTAAGATGGGTCTGCCACTTAGATTCTTTCTCAGTGCCTGTGGTTCTTTTTCATGGTTTCTCTAGACGAACATGTGCCTGTATCTGTTTAAGGCATGTTTCCTTCATAATTTCATGAAGGCAGGAACTGGTTCTCTTTTACTCCCACGCCTGCTGCTGGGCCTGGTAGCAAAATAGATAATAACCACTACCTTGGAGTCAGATCTGGCTCAAACCCTGGTCAGCTGTGTAACCGTGGGCCTCCATTTTCCTCATCTGTAAAATGGGCATAAAGATTTAGGCGTCTTTACTTCCTACATTAGATTCTGTTCATCCTCAGCTCAAATATTACTTCCTTAGGAAACCTTGTCCTGATACATGATCCCCATAGCTCTTACCAAAAATATTAATCATTTGAGCAAATTTAAATTTAACGTCTGCCTCTATCACCAAGCTGAGCCTTGTCGGGGGAAGGTCTAAGCCTGGGTCATTGTATCCCCAGCATTGCCTAGCACAGAAGAGGGGTTGAATGTTTGAATAATTGGAACAGCTTAAAAACTTCCATTTATGGCACTTCTTTTCTGTGCCAAGCACCAAGCTAAGCATTTTTATGCTTGTTTGCATTTCTATCTGAAGGTACCCAAGAAAGAGCAGGCTCTGGGGTGGTCTCCATTTTTCTGGAGAAATTGAGGAACTTGCCAGAGGCCATGATCAGAGGCCAGTCCAGTCCACCTGAAGCCTGAATCTGGCCAGAACGCGTAACTCCCATTGGTGTTTACTAAATAGTAGCACAAAGGCAATTTTAGGTGACGCATGAATGGCATTTTTAATGGTTCTATGGTTTTAACTTTTTTTAACATAGCCAGTACATGAAACCCATGATTATAAACATAATGTTGCCTAGGATGAGGCAAAAGTAGATAAATCTTTTTTTCAAGGACAAAACCTGCATTAAGCAGGTGCTAGGTAAAATTATGAAAGTGAGATTTAAGTTTGGGGGCATGAAATCAGAGCTGCTGGGGTTGCAGTGGGATGGGAGGCGAGAACCACCCAGTGCAAACTGGCTAGTCATTCAAATATTTTTGAGCGCCGCCTAACAGGGACCCAGGCCAAGAGAGAGGAAGGGGCTGATGTGAGCTAGAACTGTAGACCCGCCGCCTCCGCCCTCCCAAAGACTGCCTCGTCCTGTTCCCGACGTCTGGGAAAGAGGACTTGAGAGTGACCAGAGCCTAGTTGGGCCGACCAGGTAGTGAGAACTCAAGGTTGGGGAAGGGTGGTCTGGCGCTTGCCCTCCCCCAGCAATCCCCTCCTCTTGCTTGTCATCCCGTGGTCCCCTTCCTTTACCCCAAATTGGGACGCAACAACGGGCAAGGGTCCCCCAAACCCAGTGCTCCGAAAGCACGGGGAAAAGCCCCCCCAAAGTTGGGGGGGGCAGACAGCGGAAATCGGGAAGGCCTCCCCCAACCTCCCAGACAGCGGAAGTGCGTCAGTCTGTCCTCCCGCAGAGCATTTAGGGAATTGTAGTGAGCCGGGGGGCGGAGAGGCAGACAATGTAACCCTTTGGAGACCGGAGCGCGCCGGCGAGGGTGGAACAGAGTCGGAGGGCGCTCAGTCACGCCCCTCCTTTAGTAGATGAGAGATCTAAGGCAGGGATCTGGCTCGGAAGCCCTCAGTCCTCTCCCCTCTCTGACTGTGGCCGGCCCCAGAGGCTGATACCTAGGATTCTGGGGGAGCATGAAGTGCCAAGTGGACAACACTCCCCCCGCCCCCGGTTGCCATCTTCCCGTCCCCAGCCGTGAAACTATCCAATCAAGGCCTCTCCGCCCCGCCCCAGGAGCTGCTGCCTTCCTGACCCGTCATTGGCCCACCTTTGATGGGCGGGCAAACTGAGGCTCAGAGAGGGCAAGACTCTTCGCCCAAAGATGCACAGCAAGTCAGAGCAGAAGTTGGATTCCCTGCAGCCTGTTCACCTCCCACAATTTCTGAGTCCGTAGTAACTCTGATCATTCGTACCGCAGCCCTGCCCCCACCCTCGTGCCCGAGCTCCTCGGAGCGTGCCGACTTCCCGGCTAGGTAACAAGGAGTAGTGAGGGTTTCGCGCGGAGAGGCGACCACCACTCCCCCACCCCCGCTGCCCGCCGTTCCCTTTAAGAGCCAGCCCCGGCGGGACTACGTTTCCCAGAAGGCTTTGCCGGCGCGTTATGTAACTTTCCCTGCGAAGCGGCCTCTGGGACAGAAGGAGGAGGAGGCGGCGGCGGCCGTTGCAGTTGCGGCGGCGGCGGCGGCGGGAGCGGCGGGAGCCCGAGGCGGCGGCGCCCGCGGCCCATCGCGGGGCCCGAGCTGTGCGCCTCGGCTCGGAGCCCGGAGCGGGCGGGGGCGCCGACGTGCTTCGGCCTGCCTTTCCAAGGGAGGCGGGAGTGAGGAAAAAGGCTGAGGGCCCAGGGGGCGGGGAAGGGGGGCCGGGCCTGGATCCGGCGGGGAGGCCGAGTCGGAGGCCGGACCGTGGCTCGTGCCGTCCCGGGGAGGCGAATCGAACATCGGCGACGAGGAGCGAACGTCGGCGGCGGGTGGAACGCGGGGGCCGGGCCGCGCGCGCGCGGGGACCATGGCGTCTGTGCAGGCGTCCCGCCGCCAGTGGTGCTACCTGTGCGACCTGCCCAAGATGCCGTGGGCCATGGTGTGGGACTTCAGCGAGGCCGTGTGCCGCGGCTGCGTGAACTTCGAGGGCGCGGACCGCATTGAGCTGCTCATCGATGCTGCCCGCCAGCTTAAGCGCAGCCACGTGCTCCCCGAGGGCCGCTCGCCTGGGCCCCCTGCCCTCAAGCACCCGTCCACCAAGGACCTGGCTGCGGCCGCCGCACAGGGGCCCCAGCTGCCGCCCCCGCAGGCCCAGCCCCAGCCGTCCGCGACTGGCGGGGGCGTCTCAGGCCAGGACCGCTATGACAGGGCCACATCGTCAGGCCGCCTCCCCCTGCCCTCACCCGCCCTGGAGTACACTCTGGGGTCCCGCCTGGCCAACGGACTGGGCCGCGAGGAGGCCGTGGCGGAGGGGGCGCGAAGGGCCTTGCTTGGCTCCATGCCTGGCTTGATGCCCCCTGGGCTGCTGGCAGCTGCGGTGTCTGGCCTAGGAAGCCGAGGCCTGACGCTGGCACCCGGCTTGAGTCCTGCTCGTCCAATCTTCGGCTCCGATTTCGAGAAGGAGAAGCAGCAGAGGAATGCGGACTGTCTGGCGGAACTGAACGAGGCCATGCGCGGCCGGGCAGAGGAGTGGCACGGGCGCCCCAAGGCTGTGCGGGAACAGCTACTGGCGCTGTCCGCCTGTGCCCCCTTCAACGTCCGCTTCAAGAAGGATCACGGGCTGGTGGGGCGCGTGTTCGCCTTCGATGCTACTGCCCGCCCTCCAGGCTATGAGTTCGAGCTGAAGCTCTTCACCGAATACCCCTGTGGTTCGGGCAATGTGTACGCGGGGGTCCTGGCCGTGGCTCGCCAGATGTTCCACGATGCTCTGCGGGAGCCAGGCAAGGCACTGGCCTCCTCTGGCTTCAAGTACCTCGAATATGAACGCCGGCACGGCTCGGGAGAGTGGCGCCAGCTGGGTGAGCTGCTTACCGACGGTGTTCGCAGCTTCCGCGAGCCGGCCCCCGCGGAGGCCCTGCCACAGCAGTACCCAGAGCCGGCCCCCGCTGCTCTGTGTGGCCCACCCCCGCGTGCCCCATCCCGGAACCTGGCCCCCACGCCGCGCCGTCGCAAGGCCTCCCCTGAGCCGGAGGGAGAAGCAGCTGGGAAGATGACCACCGAGGAGCAGCAGCAACGACACTGGGTGGCACCCGGCGGCCCGTTCTCCGCTGAGACCCCCGGCGTGCCCTCACCCATCGCCGCCCTGAAGAATGTGGCCGAGGCTTTGGGCCACTCACCCAAGGACGCTGGCGGGGGTGGGGGCCCTGTGCGAGCGGGGGGCGCCAGCCCCGCAGCCTCGTCCACGGCCCAGCCTCCAACCCAGCATCGCCTAGTGGCCCGCAACGGTGAGGCAGAAGTCAGTCCCACAGCGGGGGCTGAAGCTGTCAGTGGGGGTGGTAGCGGCACTGGGGCGACCCCTGGGGCCCCTCTGTGTTGTACCCTGTGCCGGGAGCGGCTGGAAGACACCCACTTCGTCCAGTGCCCCTCGGTGCCCGGACACAAGTTCTGCTTTCCCTGCTCAC